GGATTTAGACAGCGTTGACGTTTGAGAGGTTGTTTGCGCAGAAATTTGAATAAAAATGATATTGGGAATGAGAGGCAATCTTTCAATCGCTCTCTACCTGCAATTGAATAGGGTCCCGTACCTAGACATACGGGATATATGGGATCCAAACTCATGGCTATTCGCAGCACGGCTCAAAGCAGCGCAAAAAACACCTGCCTATGCTCTGGCATAGGAACTGGACTGAAATCTGTCTATTGACAAGCAAGACGATAGCATATAACTATAGGAAGAGGAAACGGGTCGGCCCGGAACAACAAATTCCCGGAGAGATATATGAATAAATATGAATACGAATATGACTATGAATATTGGGCATATTCATATGAATAATATTCATATTATTCATATTCGTGAAGAGCGAATATGAATAAGGGCCATATTCGTATTCATTTATTCATTTCGGAGCTCTACTTCTGGGTGAAGACCAGTCGCCCTAATATTAGCGTTCATCAGCGAACGACGGTCCTCTCGGAATCTGGGCTGCTGGAACTCACTGTTCTGGAATCCTCATCGTTGTCTTCATCTCAATCATCCTCATTGCTGTCCTGTGCCCCCCGAGTCTGACCCAACCGTCAAAGACCTTGCTGAGTGTATATGAGCGTGCAAGTCATCAAAAATGCCAGGACCAGGACTACAAGGAATCAATTATCCGACCAAATATGATCTAAGATAGTTTGATAAGGGGGGGCGGGTGGCACACGCAGAGCATAGCTGCGGCCATAGTTCTTAGTAGCTGTTGACGCTGTTTATTCCCAAATTTCGATGCCGGTAGTTGTACAATATGAATATGTTCCTGACTTCGGATTGTATAAAATGGTACGTTTGGTCGAACACGAGACGGTTCAAGTAGTCATCATACAATGTACCCAATACCTATGATATAAGATACAATAGTATTAGTTGCCTGATTTTTCTAATATTATGTCGGTACCGGTGTTCAGAATGGGATCCGTGTTAAAAAAAATCGAGGAATTTCAGTCAGGATAACATCAACACAATGGATTATTAACTTAACTAACTAACTTAAGTTAACTTAGTTAGTTAGTTAAGTGTTAACTTAGTTAGCGTACTCTACAAGCGAGTGGTCAATACAAGCGAGCGGTTAGGCCCAGCCAAACCAAACCATTTCAATTACAGATATCTATATACCGCAGTAAGGTATATGTTAACAAGGGTCGGATCGGAAGCATTGCTGTTAGAATTGTGAATCGTCGAGGTCAGAACCGCCAAAGTCGGAATTGTCGATGTCGGAATCATCGTTATGGAAGTCCTCGGGGCCATCCTCATTATGATTAGAATATACTGGCAAAAGCCAAAACTCAGGATCCTTGAGTAGGGGCGTGTAGAAACCCATAGTGGCCAGAATGAACTTGACAGACTTGACCATATTCCTCGTGCCTGTTGACTAGCCAGGTGGTGTCACATATACACCGCTTTGTGATTACACCACCTTAGGAGTGTACCTTTATGGATATTTCTGAGGGTGTTTCTGACTCGTAAAATATTTCGTCAGGCCAAAGATGGCTTAAATATTAGAAATGCAGTATAATGATCTCTCATCGTCTGAGATACAATGATAGTGTACTGGTATTCATGGCCATGTTTTGACACGGCCGAGCACAAATGACAACGGTTAGAAGCACAAAGGATAAGGGAACAATAGAATACTAGATCTAAGACCAAGGAAAGGTAGCATCGAAATAGGACATGGATGGAGACAAAACAGCCGACAATATGAGAGTTGGGATGTGCTGGAAATGCCTGGCGGTGACCCGCTCTGGATCAAGATTTTACAAAGCATATGCGTGAATAATTCATTGGTCTAACTTACCTGTTGGATCTTAGCCACCGGGATACCTGTAAATGGGACCAGCCATTTACAAACCCGTTGCCACCTAGACTCCTAGAGTTGACACCAGTTCTTCAACAAAGAGACGAGATCGAAGGGGTTAGGGGAGGTTGAGCTCACCGCACGTGACTTAAACTTACCCGCTAAAAAAACACATCCCTGTCAGCCCTACGGCTTGGCGGAAATTTTAAGTCCGAGTCCAACTTTCTGCTCTTGAAGCATCCAAGGATCGCCCCATAAACTTTCCGCGACGAAACGTCTCGAATGCGGAGGGCATCATGAAGATCTCAAATCACTCCGCTGTCCCGGTATATACCATCTCGGGATCCTCGACCGCCCGACCTCTCCCAGAATGGCTTGCGCGCCAACGGAAACGAAGCCTCAAAAAGGACCCCGAGTATGCGAACCGCGTGGAATTGCTTCAAGACTTCGAGTTCGAGGAAGCGAGTCAATGCGTTCGGATAAGCGAAGATGGCGAATGGGTCATGAGTACCGGTATTTGGGTTGCATTTATTCCTCTCCGCTGCGAAGGCTAACTCGAGAACAGGAACATATAAGCCGCAGATACACACACATTATCTCCCTCACCTGTCACTGTCGTATGCAAGACATACCGACTCGCTCAATCAAACTTTCATACTCCTCTCCTCCGACTATTCGAAATCATTACATCTTCAAACCGACCGTCGGATTGACTTCCAGACCCGACAAGGACTTCACTACTCAACCAGAGTACCCCGCTTTGGGAGAGATCTCAAATACTGCAAGAACTCATGTGAAGCGCTTATTCCGTCAGTTGGAGTGAATGAGGATGGAAATGGCGAAGTGTTCCGACTGAATCTCGAGGTGGGGCGGTTTATGAAAGGGTATGAAGTTGATGTTGGTGGAGACGATACCACCGCTTTTGGTGGCGGATCATTGCAGGGCAGCGCTGGTGTAGGAGCAGTGAATACTGCAGCAGTGGCGGAGGACAGTCACAATCTACTCGCTTTCGGAACATCGATAGGAACGGTGGAGTTCTGGGACCCGAGGTCAAGAGGCAGAGTTGGGATACTGACGCCACCCTTCGATTCGGCGCCTTTGACAGGGAAGGCAGAAATCACCGCTCTCGAATTCCACCAGTCCGGTCTGACATTAGCAGCTGGATCATCGTCCGGCTTGGTCCATCTATACGATCTACGATCTCCTGTTCCGCTACTCAAGAAGGATCAAGGCTACGGCTACCCCATCCAAAACCTCATATTCCTCAATTCCTCCGCGACCTCCCGCTCACAAATCACCACCCCCAAAGTCCTCTCCTCCGACAAACGAATCATCAAAATTTGGGATCAAGACACCGGAAAGCCATGGACTTCGGTCGAGCCTGCCGTTGACCTTCACCACGTCGCATGGTGTCCGGATAGCGGGATGTTCCTCACCGCAAACGAAGGGCGACAGCAACATGCGTTCTTCATCCCGCAGCTAGGCCCGGCGCCGAAATGGTGCTCGTTCCTCGACAACATCGTGGAGGAGATGGCCGAGGATGCGGACGATCCGAACTCCTTCATGGGCCAGCAAGCAGGGTCCGTGTACGACAACTTCAAATTCCTTACCCTCCCCCAGCTGCGCGAACTGAATCTGGATCACTTGATCGGGACCACGAGGCTGCTTCGGCCGTATATGCACGGTTATTTCGTCGCGCAGCGGCTGTACGAGGAGGCACGGTTGATATCGAACCCCGATCTATGGCAGGAGCAGCGGGCGAAGACCGTCCAAGCGAAAATCAGCAAGGAGCGCGAGAGCCGCATCCGAGGCAAGAAGAAGGTCAGTGTCAAGGTCAACCGCAAGCTCGTAGAGCGCATGCTCGAGAAAGAAGCCAAGAACGAAAGAAAGCGAGCCCAACGAGTTCTCGAACTTGGTGGCGACGAGGACCTCCTCGAAGAACAAGCCGCCGCTGCGCAACCCGGCGAAGATGCCGTGGACGGCGTCGCGGAAGCAGGGGGAGAGACCAAATCCGCGACCACCAACATTCTTGGCGACTCGCGATTCACCGGGCTGTTCCAGGACGAGGACTTCGAGATCGACGAGACGTCGCGCGAGTTTCTGTTACACAACGCCAGCACCAAGGTGGAGGCGCCGACACCGCTGCCGCGGGGCCTCACTGCCGTTGAGGAAGAGGAGATGCAGGATATACGTGGATCGAGCGAGAGCGACGAATCGTCATCGGAGGAAGAAAAGACGAGTATAACGAAGCGATCGAAGCCCAAACCAGCGAGGCAGGCTCCCCCGGCGATGCACGTGTCGTCCTCAACGGCGGCCAGCAAACCGGTGCACCGGACGGAGAAGTCGTTCGGGAGTCGGGTGGTGTCGCTAAAGGAACGGACGAGAGATGAAGGGGCGCAGAATGTGACCGTGGTTGGGGAGAAGGAGGTCTCGTTCGTGCCGAGGGGGAAGAAGAAGGGAGCGGCGGCGCCGACGGGGGATACAGGGCGGGTGCGGAGCCGGTTCGATAAGGCGGCGAGACGAAGCGCGAGTGGGAATACGATGAGGAATTTGTAGAACTTGGTCTGAATCGTTGGTTAGATGCATAGATCCATGCTGCTTGGACATGCTTGATATCCCCTGCGTTGGTGGCGCTGTATAGCGATCCTCACGCACTAGCATAATCGAAGCATAGTTAACTATTGACGTTTTAGAAAACCAGTATTTCCACCATTGTCGTCGACCACTCTCTGTAGAGCCTTATTCAGTATCCACGTTAATCTCAATCGCGAGCTGTTGAACCCATATTCCATACCATATTCCCCACGAGATCTGTTCTTACTCCTAGTTTGGCTCAGTTTCTTGCCCTCAGCCACGTCAATATCGATGACCCCAGGCTAAGTTCCATCTTGCCATTCTAAGTTAAACGTCAGTCTTTCAAATTCGGTAGCATTCTCGTAATATTTCATTGGCTAGCGCATTATTTCCAGTCGCAGTCCATGAGCTTCATTTCTGTCTTTGTCGAGGAGACCTAGTGCCATACCGCGACTACCAGCACTCGGCGATGCGACCATGGCTCGGACACAGGAACCTTGACCATATCTCCATCATCATGTACGAGCCGCCCAATTTCCCATGTTCCGCGCACGATTCCTTCTCGTAGCGCTAGAGCCCTTCAAAAATGCTGCTCTGCCACCTCCACCGTATAGTTTCCTGCCTTTTTTGTCTCATCATAGCTCGTCCAGCTCGTGGTGTCGTACCGGTGGCTTACCCTCGTCCTGGCTAGACCCTCACTGTTCATCTTCATCGCACTCGCGACCTACTTCCTCTGCTTCGCGGAAGTAGGAATGGGGGAGGAACTCGGTTGGCGACACGGTGATGCCGATGGTGGACGACCGACGCATCTGAAGTATACGACGGTGACGGGATTCTTCCTCCAGGATGACCCGACGACGGACCCGTCCACGTTCGACTACGTACGTGCAACATATATCTACCTTGCCTTGCGATACGGCAGAAGCGGGAGTGGCATTGCGATGGGCCTGGGCTAACATATCCGTAGACGAAGGTTAACCTGGGGTTGATCAACCGCACCTATCCTACCGACGAGCTATTTGATCCCCACGGTCGGAGGATGCAATGGGAGCGATTCGCATACTACGTGGACAGCCTCAATCGCGAGTGTGGAGGTGGGGTGGCATATAAAGTGCTGATCATAGGACGGCATGGGGAAGGCTATCACAACGTTGCGGAGGCGCATTACGGTACCGAAGCCTGGGACGTACGCTCCACGACCCTTTACCCCGCCAGCAAAGAGGCATCGGAATTGCTGACGGCATGAGCAGTGCTACTGGTCCCTCCTTGACGGCGACGGCACGCTCGTCTGGGATGACGCGGAGCTCACCCCCATCGGCCGCGACCAAGCGCAGATCGCGCACGACTTCTGGTCGACCGCGCTGACTGTCGCGAAGATCCCGGCGCCGGAGAGCTATTATTCCAGCCCCTTGCAGCGATGCATCCAGACAGCGAACGTCACCTTCGACGGGCTCGACCTACCGGCGACCCGACCGTTCAAACCCGTGGTCAAAGAGGTGAGTGCTCGGCTCCCGTCCATTCCACGCGAATGGAGTAGCCCACTGACCACCCCAGCTCCTCCGTGAATCAATCGGCGTGCACACCTGCGACCGCCGCCACCCGAAATCGTGGATCTCCGCAAACTACCCCTCGGTGTCCTTCGAGTCTGACTTCCCGGATCTCGATCCGCTATGGAAGGCCGACGAGCGGGAGACGTTCAGCGCGCGGGTGGTGCGGATGGCGGAGCTACTAGATGAGGTGTTCGAGGGCGATGGGAACACGTGGATCTCGTTTAGTAGCCACTCGGGGGCGATTGGGGCGACGTTGGAGGCGCTGGGACATCGGGGGTTTGGGTTGACAACCGGCGGGGTGATTCCGGTGTTGGTTAGGGCGGAGGTCATGAGGGGAGAGAGGAGGGGGAGGGGGGAGGCGCCGACAAGGCCGCCGGAGTGTACGGTGAATCCGGGTCGGATGGCGAAGGTGTGAGGAAATAAGGGGGCTGGGTAGGTCGGATCCTGTGTTGGATATAGGAACGGTTGTCCATACTGTCCATGTCCTAACAGGTATTTACATAGTACATCCATAAGCGAGTTTAAGTACTAGCTACCTAAGTAGACATGGTACAAGATACCCCAGTGGCTTGGACGCCGTTCTGCTTGGAATATATGCAGGTCATCGATTTTGCACCATTTCGCACCTAATTCTCGTGGCTTCCATTTCCTTAGAAACCTCTGGGCTCTGGACTCTGTCTGTCCTGAACCCTAGACTCCATTCTGCCCTCCGTACCTGGACGGGAATAGGATGTTTTCGGTTGAACGTCATACCGAGCGGTTGTTCTCGGGATCCCGAACATTCGGTCCGGTTGTAACCTGAGTTGAACTACATACCTATTGCGGTAATAGGGAATAACTAATAGGTACTTGGCTGAGCTATTCCCGGCGGCTTCATCGCTAGGCGGATAGCGGCATGGTTCTCATTATGGTCTTCTATTAATGATATCATCGAAAGTCCGATACAAGCTGCCGTACTTAAATGAATCGATACTTCATAAATCATAGTTCATACTTGTCTGATCTCACAGAACCCCCTCCCTCCATTCATGTATCTCATTACCCTATTACCCGGTCAACCCCCCACAGCATTACTGATCCATCATCTATCCTGACCAATCCCCCGTTGTGATGAGATCGGCCGTTGCATGGAGTGCAGAACTGCAGTGTGACCATCCAGGATTCTCCTCCAACGCCCAAATAGGAAGCTGACGGCGGCATGCACTATGGTCTACGAGGTGGTCTTATTGGCATTGTTGGCATTCGTATTCTTATTATTCACAGAATCTGATCATGGAAACTCAGCAGCTCCTCTGCTCGGCTTCGTTGAGGCCGTTGTCCCTTTGTCCCTCTGCTCTCTCGGTAATAAGTGGTAATAAGTCGGTCACATCAAATTAATATCCGAAACCCACGCAACCCCCCACTTCCACCTCCACTTTCGCTAAAACGGCTTCACGGCGGTACATCCATTTCCCACCCTTCCCTCCCAAATGACGAATCCCATCCCGTGGAGAATCGCACGATAGACCATCGGCCAATCCAACCTTCCCGCTACTCACTAGCTCATCGTCCACACAAAGCCTTCGACCAACCAGACCAACCGTTCCCTTCCCCTCGCCCGCAGGCCGCAGCGGCTTTCGGATCTACCGCAGTCAACAGCAGTATTCTTCCGTACATCCAGTCCACACGCTAACTCGGTTGTCAATGGCGGCACCACGTCTCATTTGCACGCAAACGGCGCAGAGCCGCTGCGCCGTTAACCTCGTCTGTTCTTCTGCTGCTGCGACGCCGCACTCCTCTTCCCGAACCGACTTAATATTCTCCAAACACCTCGCCTTACGCACGCGAGACATGCATACAGTGGGAGCTCGTTGTGCTGCTGTTGCGACTCGATTTGCCTCTACCACTTCAAGTACCTTCACGCCTTCTGCCTTCCAGCGATTAGCAACCGGTACCGGCGTTGCTTTCGTCACCCCGCATACATCCGGATCGGCATCGAGAAGATTTCCCCGGACGAACGTCACGCAAAGAAGAACCATGGCGACCGGAATCAAGAAGATCAAGGTTAAGAACCCAGTGGTGGAGCTGGACGGTGATGAGATGACCAGGATCATCTGGCAAGATATCAAGGACAAGGTATGATATCCTCAAAACCTCCTGAGGAGCAGTTATTGACAAATCCAGTTCATCTTCCCGTACGTATATCGGCCGGCCACCTAAGGCCTCCTCGGTTAACTTTCTATCAGATATCTCGACATCGACATCAAATACTACGACCTGGGCCTGGAATACCGCGACCAGACCGACGACCAAGTCACCCACGATGCCGCCGAAGCCATCAAGAAATACGCTGTCGGCATCAAATGCGCCACCATCACCCCCGACGAGGCTCGCGTCGAGGAGTTCAAGCTCAAGAAGATGTGGCTCTCTCCGAACGGCACCATCCGTAACGCCCTGTGAGCTTTCCCCTCCCCCCTTCCATATCCCTCGCAACTAACTCGTCCCCCCAGCGGCGGCACCGTCTTCCGCGAACCCATCGTCATCCCCCGCATCCCCCGCCTCGTGCCCGGCTGGAAAGCCCCCATCATCATCGGCCGCCACGCTTTCGGCGACCAATACCGCGCGAAAGACCGCGTGATCCCGGGAGAAGGCACCCTCGAGATGGTGTACACCCCCAAAGGCGGCAAGCCGGAGGTGATCCAAGTGTATGACTTCCCGGCGGAGGGCGGCGTGGCGCAGACGCAGTACAACACGACGGAGTCGATCCGCGGATTCGCACACGCCAGCTTCAAGCTCGCGTTGATGAAGAAGATGCCGTTGTACATGAGCACGAAGAACACGATCCTGAAGGCGTACGATGGCCGGTTTAAGGATGTCTTCCAGGAGGTGTACGAGGCTACGTATGAAAAGGAGTTCGAGGCGAACAAGATCTGGTATGAGCATCGTTTGATCGACGATATGGTCGCGCAGATGATCAAGAGCGAGGGTGGCTACATCATTGCTATGAAGAGTACGTGTTCCTCCCTTTTCCATCCATGCAGCCCCGTGAACATCGTCCCAAAATTACCCCCGGAGCGTTCGGGGTTTAAATCATTCCAACCAACTAACCATCCCAGACTACGACGGCGACGTCCAATCCGACATCGTCGCCCAAGGTTTCGGCTCCCTCGGCCTCATGACCTCCGTCCTCATCACCCCCGACGGCAAATCCTTCGAAGCGGAAGCCGCCCACGGCACCGTCACCCGCCACTACCGCGAGCACCAGAAAGGCAACGAGACCTCGACCAACCCGATCGCGAGCATCTTCGCGTGGACACGGGGGCTGGCGAAGCGCGGCGAGCTGGACGGGACGCCGGAGGTGGTGGCGTTCGCGGAGAGCTTGGAGCGCGCGTGCATCGATACGGTGGATGTGGATGGGGTGATGACGAAGGATTTGGCGTTGGCGTGCGGGCGCAAGGACCGGGCGAGTTGGGTTGTGACGAAAGAGTATTTGGATGCGGTGGAGAGGCGGTTGAGGGCGAGTTTGAAGGAGAAGTTGTAGTAGGAAAACTAGGTGTAGATAGAGTTGGGAGCTTGGGGGTTATATAGACGGACATTTGAGAAATGAATTTGGTGAGATTATGGAGTAATGTCGATGGTGATGGCTAACTAAGTAGCAATTTTGTGAATGCTAAGCTGTAGGGGTATTCTGTGCAAACAATATCAATGCTTAACAATTAATGTCCGACGCCAGTGGGTGTGGACTCAGACAACTCCGAATCCACACCGCATGAACTCTCCATCCCATCCATTTCCAGCCTCCATATATCACCTCTCTAGAGCTATCTCCCGGTGGATTCTAGTTTACCCCCGTCCCAGAGGCAGGACCATCGCCGTCTCTCGCGACACCCAGCGCTTCATCAATCGCCTCCCCTCCCGGCACCGACTCCACCCCCCCCAGGATCTCCGACCTCTCCCCCATCGCCTGCAAATTCTCCTCCCGCTCCGCTTGCCGCTGTTCACCCCGCCGATTCACCTCCTCAAAACCATACGTCGACTGACATCCCAAGAACGCTAGATCGCTGTCGCTTCGTTTCGGGGTACTCCCCTTCGACACGCCGATCGGATTTCCCGGGTGCGCCATGTCCGAATGTGACGCGGAAGCCTGGGCGAGGATCGTGCTCGGCTTCGGCGGGGCGGATTCCGGCGAGGGGTTGGGGCCCCGTGGGTCTTCGACGGAGAGCGACCTCGTGGCGGCGAGCTGAGACGATAAGGCGGGTTGGGCCGTCGCTGTGGAGGAGTTGGGGTCGGTGGGTTGGGTGTCGGCGATTGGCGCGTCGCTGCGGGTCTTTTTCCTGCGGCTGAACACCTTCTTGAACTTTTGGAAGCCGGTGGGCCGGCGTTGGTCGCTGGATCGATGGACCATGGCATCGACGCGGTCGACCAAGGCGTGGACTGGGTTGGAGATCGTTGAGGATTCCCGGGAGCGGGGTGCGGGTTCCTCGCTGTTGGCGGAAGGGGGGGGCTTGCTGATGTGTGCCAGGGCGGCCTTTGCAGCGCGGGTGTAGTCCGGATATGAGTCCGCACACGCCTCGCGGATCAGGTTGAGCTTCGCCTTGTCGCGTCCGATGATCGTACTAGTGGGTGTTGGATGCCATCCCAGCGTGCGGATATCGGTCTCCATACCCTTGTCAACTTGCGCCTGGACGTCCATTAACGCGATCAGGGTATCGACGTGCTCGCGGGCGAACTGCACGAATGTGCTGAACTGCTGCGCGTTGTGGATGATCCAATCGTCCATGATTATGGACATGCGTCGGCGTTCAGAGGCCGGTTCATCCACGAGGTCGCACAGGATGGAGAACTGCTCGCGGAATCCTTCGAGCCGGTTGTGGTCGAGGGTTTTGGGGGCAGCGGTTTGGCTGTTGGGTCGGGGTTGCTTGAGGCCAAAGGCGCGCATCATTTCCACCCGGGGAAGATGGGCGGGCCGGTCGACGAGATCGCGGAGACATGTTTCGACCGTGGTTCGCACGTCGGGGTCATCCAGCCGTGGATCGCGAGGGATGAAATTGACGGGGGCCGTGGGATCAGGATTGAAGTCTCCCGGGCGGGACGGGATCATATGCTTCGCAATGGTTGCGGGAGGGGATGAAATTCCCACTGCATTGCCCCAGATCAAGAGTCGGCCTTGTTCGATCCCAAGGCATGTGAGAGCGATTTGCTGGTTGTGATTCAATTCCCTAGGATGGATTTTGCCGAACGCTTCGACGGTGGTGCTGAAGAGCCTCGCAAGGGAGACGACGCTGTCTAAGACTTCCTCTCGTGTTTTCAAGGACGCATCAGGCGTAGTGGTGGCCATTATTGGATGTATCTGTATTATTTAGATATTGAAAGAAGTGATAACGGAAGCATTCTCAGGTTCATAGTCCATGAGAGGGGTGCTTTAACGAAGCATTTGATTGTTTCCCTAGAGCAATCGTGGTTACATGATCGGTTGGGAAGCAGAGCTCTTGGTGCGGCGGTGCAAGTGCAACTCAATCAATATAATTTGCTAAGGACACGGCGCCCAGCGCCCAGCGGTGTACAGAATACCTTCAGTGTAGTTACCCCACTTCGAAATGCGAAGGGCGCAGGACTGTACATATAATATTAATAATGGAATGCAAGGAGCGGCGATTGGCATCACTACTGTGTTAGGAATTGCGACGATGATCATCGAGATTGTCGATAGCAAACAATGAGACGGACTTAAAAAGAGATGTAATGGATTGCGCGAATGACGATGGTAAAACCCCTCTCAGGATCCGAAATGTACAAAATCCACCAAGGACAATGACGCCAATGGCCTAAGATTTATGAAGAGATGCGACATACGAGGCGGACGAGGATTGACTGTGAGAGCGTGGACAGCACCGTCACCCGCTGGAAAGATGATGGGAAGCCGTTTTCTGAGAGCCCGATAGCCTCACTTTTGCAAAATAGGTATCTCGTTCATTTTGAAATAAACGACGGACAGAACTTCAGGGTAAGTGGAGTTGAGGTAGTCGCCCAAGGTACTGTAGCCATACGATTGCAGTGTCAATATGAATAACATGTCGCGGGCGCACGTCCCAGATGGATGGGCCGATCAAATGTTGGAAAGAAACATTTCCACAGTCAAGCAGGTGAAGACGGAGACTTCTACACGATATGTAGTTCTAGGAGACAGATCATATCATCAGGGGGGTTGCTGCGGGACCTGCGTAGCGCCGATAAGCCTGATATCCTGCTACGCCTGCGTGAGCACTTTGAGTCCGTGAGCACGGTGGATGTTGGGATCTGGCGCCGTAGGTATCTACAGTAATCTTTCGGTTGCACAGATCGAGACGATAATACTCTATGTACGTATGAGGGAGGAGAACATCAATGCTTCGAAGCCATCAATTTCCATTTGTTTCGGATGCTTGGATGCTCGGTTCATGACTGCGCTGCTTCTTTCGTACGGAATCCTGGTCCTAGACAATGATGCTTCCGTTGAGAGGAGGAGGATGCACTTGGGAGAAAGGAAATCTGGGGTGGACAGCGTCAAGAACATGGCTTCTACACCAGTATTCAATATTATGGCATCGATAGAAATCGGTATTAATGCTGGAACTACGGTAAAAGGGACGACGGCAAGTTGGCCTCCAGAATTGGGGGCGCCTTCTTTCGGGGCTCCTCTCCAGGCCTCCACCGCTCGTCGTCCCCATTGGCCAGATTTCCTTCTCCAAGGGTTTTTCATCCAAGAGCCATATAAAATCCGAGTCCCTTCCGCCATTCCTCCTCCTGCTGTTTTTATTTCACCGCCTCTCTCTCCTCTCTGCTTCCTTTCATCCTTATCCCTCTTAGGGCTGGACACGAATAAGGATTTTGGCTATTCGTATTCGACTTTTCCCTGGGAACGATTATTCGTATTCGACTAAATTTCGAGACGTTTTATTCGTATTATTCGCGAATATTCGTAAATAATGCCAAGACTTATTCGGCAAAAGCCGAGCCAATGAATGAATGCCCAGCAGTCGCGACTTTTGTTTACCCAACATGCTCCAACTAGAGGATTTGAGCTCTAAGAGATACAAAGCATATCAATATGTTGCAACTTCTTTCTTAATATGGATGACTTATCCATGTCTCTTGGGAAGCGCCGTCTTCGCTCCGAGAGAGTTGATTATCATCTTCTTAATGATGGCAGTGACGAGGAAGCCTCCCTAGAGAATAGCACCAGCAAAAGGCGTTGTTCAAGTGGAGCCCGCAATAGTCTCGAATTGATCTCTCCTGACGATTCAGCAAGCCAAGTAACCCCAGCTCAAGGCTCTCTATCGACCGTCTCTCCAGAGCAGGAGTTAAATGGAGACGAATTGCCGCCGTCCTCTACCGTCTCATATGAATCCGGACATCGGCGAATACGAGCACAGAATCAATCTCTATGGGAGCAATTCAAGGTTACCGTACTTCGAGACAAGCTATGGTGGCCAAAGAGGGGGACTGGGCCAGTACAAGATCGAGAGATTCGATGTATTCGGTGCGAGTGGAAGACAACGGATTCCGCGAGAGCTACCTCGACGTCGAACATGACCCTCCACCTCTCTAAGCATAGGAAG